CCCGGCCCAGGGTCGAGCATGGCCTGAGAAACTTCGTGGTTTAATTTGGAACAAACTCAGTTTGAAATATAAAGGCGTTTGTCTTTAAGTTTCGCGTGTGTGCGTTTTCCAGCGTTCAGTTAACTAGCGTCTTCTTTCGCTTTCTGTTTTTATTTTCAGGTGTGGGAATGTCAACTTTGCTAGAAGAACCAGCTGTAATAGATGTGGCAGAGGTGAGTATCTCAGAGGATATATCTTTTTCTCCTTGTCTGTTTCTGCCTTTTTGAAAGAAAAGAATATAAAATCTTTTTAATTAATCATAAAGCAAGATGTTTGAGAACTGTTTGGATTTTTTCTTTTTTCTTTTCCAGAAAAAACGACAGAAGCTAAAATGATGAAAGCTGGAGGGACTGAAATAGGAAAGACGCTTGCTGAAAAGAGTCGTGGCCTCTTCAGCGCTAACGACTGGCAGTGTAAAACGTATGCCCTTTTAAAAAAACACAGAGTGTTCTCTTAGAGCCACACAACACATCTACAGTATCATACTTATTTTTGTTGGTATAAATTTACTTGTACTGATGAGAGGAGAGTGATCAAAACTCACAGCTATTCCCCTAGTACTGTTTTGCTGTGAGGATAGCATTCATTTTTGTTTGCTGGACAGCAGGTACTTAATTAACGTGACTGAAAAAAGATTTTAAAAAATCAAGACTAGACAGGTAAAAGTTCATGTTTTTCTTTGATAAGCCAAGACGCTTCTCAAGTTCGGAAGAAATGCATAGATGGAAGTAACACCTTCACTGCAGTATGATATTTTATTGTTAACATTTACCAAATATTTAATCAGTAAAGTGCAGCAAGCAGTTAAATTCTTAGATGTTTCTCCAAGCCATCAATTGAGACTATTAAAATCTAAATTAGAAGTGGACTACTTTAATAAAATGCTTTGATTCTTGAAAGGTGCTTTCAGATTTTCTGGAGCACTTTCAAGGATTTCAATTTTTGCTGATTGAGTAAGCTGTCTGACCAGTGAAACCTGGATTATTTTTTTTTTTCTGTCAAAAACTGAGTTGTGTTCAGCGTGATGCCTTTCCATTTGCGCTGTTCTGCAGCGCAAGCCGGGCAGGTTTCGTGGGCAGCAACATGGGTCCCAGTGTCTGAGGGAACCCAGTTGATGGCACACTTGAAGATTGTCGTGTCTTTCTTGAGTTCATAGCTAGGCTGTCTTACGGACCTCCTCCTCTCCTCTTTGGGACTGAGCAGCCTCCTGATGATAGTGTTACAGGTGGATGGAGTATGAGTGACCTTTTAGGATGCTGTAAGATAGAAATGCAGTCATGGAAGCCTAAACCTGTAGCTGTGCCTTGGTGTATGACGATGACTGTTCATAAGCATCATTCCCATGGTAGCTTCTTCATTAACTCCTCTGAACTGTGAATGCCGCTAGTGGAGAGTAATGTGGAATTTTAACACTTTTTGTGTAGTCTTACTTCTGTTAACTTGTCTGCCTACCTGCCTGTTAATTTTACTTCTTTCCCCTTGATTTGTCCAGTGTGGTCATCTTCCCATTATCCTCATGCTGGTGAAATACCCATAGACTCTCTTGCAGTTCTTTGTGTCTTGGTGGCTGTTGGCCTTGGAGTTCATTGTGTTGTACTAGTAACTGCAGATCACTGCTAAAACTTGGCAAATACATGTTTATGATTTTTTTTTTAAGTGTTACCTCAACACTTAAGCTTCTTGATTTGAAATAAAAGGTTTCTTATTTCTGTTCTGTTCTTTTTGCCTCTGAAGATGTGGTAATGTGAACTGGGCCAGAAGGTCAGAATGTAATATGTGTAATACTCCAAAGTACGCTAAATTGGAGGAGAGGACAGGTAAGATGTGTATGGTTTTAAAATACTCAAATTGCTGTAAGAAAACTTCTTTTTATAAATCATGATATAACTTAATTAAAGGGATTGTTTTCACAGCAGAACTAGCAAAGTTGAATGATATTCCATATGTAAATAAATTGTAGGTTCTTAGGCTTGATTACTTGTATTCGTGCATAAAGTATGTGATGATTTCATTTGGAAAGTCAACAAATATTCAGCTTAAACTACCTCTGTATTTGATTTTGACACTAAGACATTTGGAAGGAGTAGTGCAATATGTTATTAAACTCCAAAAGGTCTAGTATATATATAGTGTCCATCTACAGAGGACTCGGCAGTCACAGGAACAGTGTTTGAAGGCCGTGTAGATTAGACTGTTATCTCTTAATGAGGTTTGAGGTTTGGTCACACTGTGACGCATTTTAAGTTCTTCCTGCATTAACAATGAACCCGGTGGTAACTAGAACAGAGGATATCTTTACAGTGCGGTCGTAACTATACTGTTACCGCTGCAAATGGGGTCAGGCAGAGAATGTAATGCATTGAGCGTAACACTAATGCATATAAAAAAAGGAGGATAGAGAAGAGCACAGAGCTTATTATTCACAAGGAAAATTAATATTTTAATATTCTTATTTAATATTGTAAGAATGCTAAAGAATAATATTTAATTATATTTCATAGAATTAGATCTTTTTAACATTTAATTAATTTTTCAAGTTCTGGTGTCCTTCAGAGTAAACGTGCACTCATGTGCAGGACGCCTAGCATGTTGCACACTCTTGCAGTAAACTACAAAGTCAGCTGAAATTAAAATGAGCCGTTGACGTTTTCCGCTCACATTATAAAAAGGAATAGAAAGATTCTTAAGGCAAGTCTTGGCAGTTCTACAATTCAGTGCAGCTAACAGATGCTTTTATTCCTGTTGCTCCCTGAGGATATATGTGTGACCTTATGTCACAGAACAATTGTGATACAGGAGCAGACTAGCACACCCGAAAGCCACCAAGGAGGCTGTGTGCACGCAGGACCTGGCTGTGGCAAAAAGGCTGCAGGAAGGCCAGCAGCTGGGAAAGCAGTTAGCCAGCGTTGCCCTCGCCTCATGTTTCACTGCCTGCTTTCCCCAGTTGGCTACTGGCTGCTCTCAGAGGGGGGATTTTGGTCTTCGAGGACAGTAGCCTTTATTCTAGCCCCTTGGAGACATTCTTGTGTTTACCCACACCAAGGCAGTTCTCAGGCACTGCAGCCCCACCAGAGCTCTTCTGGGAAACTGGTTGCTCAGCACGACTATAATCCTGAAGTATTTTTTTTTAACTTTTTTTCCATTCTTTTAAATGCTTCTGTGTTGTTTATGTGTCTTAATCCATTTTCTCAATTAGGTTTCTGAGGAACTATATTTAAGAAACGTGTGTGGGAATAATTCATATTCCTCTTGAGATCGTATTACATTCTGATGGCATATATTTATAAATCCACTGAAGGCTTCCAGAACCTCTGTGAAAGTTTAGAATAAACTTTGTGCTTCATGTGGCTGAATTTGGTTCAGCTCAAGAGATTGTCTTGTTTTACCCTTTTCTAAAGGATACGGAGGAGGATTTAATGAACGAGAGAATGTTGAATACATAGAACGCGAAGAATCAGATGGGGAGTATGATGAGGTGAGATTAGGCACCTGTATTACTCTGGACAGACGCATGTTGTGCGATGTGTGTTTAGGATGCATACATTTGCATTTGGTTTCCTTACGGGGAAAAGTGCTAATCAGAAATACATTGTGATACATCTCTTAGTTCAAACTTTTACACGTGAGCATTTGACAGAAAGTGAATGCATCTGTTTTGTCTTTTTGGAGGTAAAAACTAAGAATGAGTTCAAATTAAACTGCTGGTGTAAGCTGAGTTTGTGAAACTTCTTGAGGACCTGGCTTCAGGGTCATGCATGTTGTTTTCAGCCAAATGTTCAACATTGTTTTATAAAGATATCCCATAGACACAAATATAAAATACTCTTTTGTTAAAATCACGTCTCTGTTAATCTTGTTTATGGGTACTAACTGTATCAAAGGACAAGCACCTCTTTAGAAAGTTTCTTGTTGCTAGTTAATGTTTCCTGATACTTCCCTTTCCCTTTGAGCAATGTCTTATTTGAAATCAATGTATACTTATTTTCTCATAGAAGTTTAATCAAAAAATACGGTTCAAAATTACTTTTCATTAAATTGTGTTCTAATGGAATAAAATTTCTTAGTTTGGACGCAAAAAGAAAAAGTATAGAGGGAAGCCGGTTGGTCCTGCCTCTATCCTGAAGGAAGTAGAAGATAAGGAATCTGAAGGGGAAGATGAGGAGGATGAGGATGAAGATCTTTCCAAATATAAATTGGATGAGGTAGCATGTTTTGGTTGGTTTTTTTTTTTTTGGTAGCAGCTGTTTTTTAATCATTACTATAGTGCTGTTTAGTGGGTAAGGTTTGGTCTGTATTTTTAGCTGCCTTTAAAGCAATGTAGTGGGTAACTATCAGAATAATGGTGCCTACAGGTTCTGTAAGGTGTGTGCACAAGCTCTGTTTTATTCTAAATACCTGCATTCAAAGATGTAGAATTTTTTTAAACCGTAAAAAATTACAAGCTTATCTGAGATCAGAATCAAAAATTCTGAGCTCTTTATCTGGAACCTTTATGTATGGTTACCATATGAAGGGAATATTCTTGAGTTTTATTCTTAGCCTTTTAAAACCACATTAGATTTATTTTTTTATGAAATGAAATAAAATATTTAGATTTTTTTTTTCATCGTTCCTGAAATACATGATCATCACATATTGGATTGATGATCTTTGAGGTCTCTTCTAACCATAATGATTCTATGATTCTATGGATTGTCCGTATCTTCAGACAGCAGTCCTGCAGAGACCTGCATATATGCTTATTTTTTACACAGCAGTCACCAAATTCTGCATGTGAAACATGGTATGGTTATAGATTTTGAGTTTGAAAATTCTTCCAGGCACTCATTTAAAGTAACTGGTAAAAATGAATATCCATGTTTTCATTAACTTCATAAAATAACAGAAAATGGGACTTCAGATAGGTTTTTTGCAGGCTTTTTATTAGTTTGCTTTGAAACACAAATTTTCAGTCATTTTTTACTCTTAAACTTTTCGGATCTCATTAAATGCACTAACAACAGTGTTTTCAAGGGTTGAAAAAAAGCACAAAAGAAACCATAGGATAAATAAAAAACACTAGCTGAAGAAAACAATCAAAGTATTTCTCAAGTGTTTTTTGTATATCTGCATTTTTTCAGGATGAGGATGAAGATGATGCTGACCTTTCAAAATATAATCTTGATGCCAGTGAAGAAGAGGACACTAATAAGAAAAAGAAATCCAATAGGCGCAGTCGTTCTAAGTCTCGATCTTCCCACTCACGATCTTCATCACGCTCATCCTCTCATTCAAGCTCAAGGTCTAGGTCCAGGTAAACGGGTACAGGTCAAGGGTAACGCCAGGCAAAATGTCAGTATCTAACTTCTTTATTTACTTTTTTTTCTTGATTGCCTTACAGTTTTAGTCTAATGATGTTAACAATTTATTTACAGAATTTGCACACGTAGATAATGTTCTGTTCTGACCTTCTGTGGATCCTCAGTAGGGAGACCTCATATGTCTCGTTGCTTGTTGAAGTAAAGTTAAGATGGTATTTCAATTGAATCCTTCAAATAAACTTATAACTTATTTCCAATTTTATTTTTAGGCTTGTTGGCCGTATGTGATTTAACGGGTGAACTTTTTTAGCAATTTTGAGTAGAGTTGTTGAACAGAGAAGCAGAAGGGTAGTATTGCTGAAGTGGGAGGAGGTGGCAGAAGAGGGCAGTGATGATGCAGTCCAGACAGACTCAGTGAAAGGACAGAATGGAAAGTAGCCTGGAAACAAAGATAAGAAACTTGAACTTAGTTTGATGGCAAGCAACAAAGCTTTTAAGTACAGTGGCAATGTTGTCAGAATAACACTAAAGCTTTGTGTTGATCATGAGACCACCAAAAGAGTCTACCGGGTAGATTTAAGATCTCTCATTGTTACTTAAATTCAGTAATATATGAACAAGTCAATAAATGTTTTGTAATCATGTGATATGAATCGTATTGTAGCTCTTTAGCTGCCTTACAACTAATACGAGGATGATACTGGTAGGTTTGAGACCTCAGATCGGTACTAGGTCATAGGGTTGTACATAAAGTTCAAGTTTCTTCTAATCTTCCTAGCTTTGTAACTGCACCTCTCTGTTCTCACTGCTGTGATCACTCTCCAAATTCTTCAGACTCTCATACTGACCAGATGTCAGCCACTGTCTCTGTTTTGCCTTTCTCCCTATTGCCGTCGTGCTTTTTTTCATGCTGCCTCTTCTGAGAAACGATGTTCTTCACAATACCTGTTGTCAGCCTCCTCACTCCTTCAAATGCTGTCTTGAGACGTGTTCTTGCCGTGTGGCTCCAAGGAGGAGCACTAAGTGAATAGTAGTGACTAAGCTGACCGGCTATCAGCAATTTTTGTAATGGAAGTGAGGTGTGGAGCAAGATCTTTGAGGAAGTGGCTCTGTTGTCCTATGTGAGGACAGTATGCAGCCAGTATGGGCTGCATTTAAGTGCAATTCTTAAGTTTAGGGATGGGAGTGTCAAAGAAGACAGAAGAACTTCCTCTGACCATAACTTTGTTCATTAATTCACAAATGTTAACAATGTAGTGAAAAGTAGCTTGACATAACTGAAACTAGCTAGGGATCTTTCAACTTTCTGTTGAACTTTTTGCTTCTAGCTACAGATAATTAATTGGAAATATTGGTTGCCATTTGTGGATACTTTTTGGGTATTTTAAAAAGGTTTTGATTTTTTTTTTTTCTAGTTAGCCTGTGTTCATACTGCTTTTGTTTTGCACAGTAAAATGAATAAGACATGGTAACAATATAAACTGGGAGATTGACAGTATGTATAATATATTTTTCCTGAAAAGATTATTAGAATTTGATTGCAATGCCTTCTTTTTACAATGGTTACTGCAAGTCTGCTACCATTTTTACGTATCCTTTGTGGTTTGTGCTTTAAAGAAAATCCATCAACATGAAAAATTAGAAAATAATTTTGACTAGTAACAAGTAGTGTTAGATTTGTCCATATTTTAGCCAAGAATTAACTACTAAATTTTTAATGCAGGGGAAAGCTACGTGAAAACTTGAAACTGCTTACAAAATGCTTGTGAGAACTGACTTAGGGAAGATTGGAGCTAGCTAGTCGTAATACCCTTACCTACCCTGTTTTTCAAAGAAACTGATGGTTTTCAAGTTAAGGCACAAATTAAAAGTTAAGGCATTGGTTTCACGAAATAGTTAATAGATATGCAGTTGTTTCATTTTGCCAAATAACTGCAGTCTTGTCTAATTTTTGTGCTTTGTTTTAGGAAACATAATAGAAAGCTGACTTTATAAATTTTTTCATGCACCATCTTACTATGTTAAAGTTTCTGTTTCAAAATGTACTGTGGTGATCCTGGGGGAGTAGGGGGAAATGGTCACTTCTTTAGTGACTGGGCCAAATTGTGTTAATGTATCATTGTCTCTACTGCTAACGGTAGCAGTTATTCTGCTAAATAAAAGTCAGACACTGGAAAAAAAAATCTTCCATGTTGTTTCAGGTCCCATTCAAGAAGTTCTTCCAGTTCCAGATCAAGATCTCGTTCCAGTTCCAGAGAACACTCTAGATCTCGTGGGTCGAAATCAAGGTGAATGAGGTGGCACTCTCTCCTTGCAGAGAGAAAAAAGGGCAGAAGAACCAACCGCTTGTTGATTTCATCGTAAAATTATTCCAGTCAAAAAACATGAACTCATTTTTATCTTGGATATCAGTTCCTGGGGTCTCTGCACAAGGTTACCACTACAGATGTATTTCTTGAGAATGCGAGGTTTTGGTTGAAGAGTTAAGTCTGATCTAAGCTAGACGAGTGGACGCCACAGATCTTCACTTTGATGGAAGAAGAATTTGAATGCATGGTTACTTGCTTCAGTAATTTTTGATGTTTTTACTGTTTCCACTTTGGCTACTTGATGTGGAAGAACATTAGAAAATACGCTATACTTCTGGTTTTGTGTTTAGTGCTAACTTAACGTATCCACTAGATAGTGCTGCCTTTTTTTAATAAATGAGGGAGGAATGTATAAAAATGTTGATAGTAAATCATGCAAGAAGCTGACAGGAGTCTGACCTAGCTGATGTTTTCTGTATAGCGGTTCCTGACCTGTGCGGGGAAGAGTAACAAAAGTTCTTGAGGTGTCCTTGCACAGACATCCTGTTGTCAGGATTTGCCTTTTGCAATGGAATGAAGAACTGTCCCATCTCCATGCACGCAGAGAATCTTAAAACTGTAAAAGAGGAAGTTGGAGTTGGGAAGATGAATCACAAATGGTGCCACTGCCCTTTGGTGGCAGAAGCATGCTGTGGATTCTCACGTGAGAGTCAGTGCGAGATGGAGTCTGTGCTTTTAGGAAGAAAAAAAGGGTGCCTGTGCCACCACTAGACGCTGAAGTGACTCATCAGCTGAGTGAGGTTATTTGCTTGTGCCACGCAGCATCCACCAAGGGTCCTTAGTATTATTAGCTTGTGTGAAATAGGACTGGTTTATTATTTATAATGAGAATCCTGAAAATATTTTGCCAACAACATACACTGTGGTGGTGGGGTTTTTTTAAATGTTTTGTCCAGCTTACTGAGAAAAAAAAAAATATCCTGTTAGTGTTTTTATATAACTTTAGAATTACAGTTTAGGACTTTCTAGTTCTATTATTTTTTCCACAAGTGGTATTTTTTCTAGTTTTTATTTCTTGTGGGTTTTTTTAGATAACCAAAGTGATTTTTGAGTGCTTTTAAGTGAAGCTGGGTTTTTTTTATTTTTTAAATGCTAAAATGACTGTATGGTGAGAGGCTTTTAAAAATATTTTGGTTGTGGAATGTCTTATTGTCTACGCAAATTTATTTTGAGATTTGTAAATACACCTTCTGAGGGTTTTTACTTTGCAAATCCCCGATGTGAAATATCCATTAATATGAAGTGAAACATTGCTAAATCGGCATTACATCTGTGGTTTTCAATCTGTTTTGCTTTGTGAATTTAACTACTGAGGAAGGTCCTTATACAGGCTACTTCCTGTCCCAGTCTCCCATCGCTTCTTTGTTAAAATGTGTCATTCTGGTGAATGCTGGAAAGAGGTTTCCAAACCATTGACGGTCTGAATATCAAGAAACAGTATTTAGCAAAGTTTATTAAGAAAACTACCATGGCAGTAGAAGTCTTTATTGGCAGATAACTAAGGAGTAAGTATTAAAACATCCACACATTTATTTGACAAAACACTGATGTAACTAGAGTAGTTGAGTGTTCATGGAAACTCTCTTTTTGTTCTTTCTTTGTTCTTTCTATATTACACCAGAATTAAATCTGATTTATTTCTTAATCAATAAAGATCCAGCTCCAGGTCCTACAGGGGGTCTTCCACCCCAAGAAAAAGATCTTACTCAAGCTCTCGTTCATCATCTTCCCCCGAGAGAAGCAAGAAGCGAAGTCGTTCTAGATCTTCTTCATCTGGTGATCGCAAAAAAAGACGATCGAGATCACGGTCACCCGAAAGGTTTGGGTTTATGTAGAATAAGAATGGGTGTATTTAAATGTGTGATTTTTTTTTTTATTTTTTTTTTTTTCCTGAAGGACTGAGATTCACTGGGAAAGAATTGAATCTGATCAGTTATTCTGATATTAAAAGTAGTTTTCTCACCTCCCCTCCTCTTAACTTCCTATTAAAACCTCTGTAATTGCTCCCTCCCCCCCGCCCACAATGAAACTTCCTCCTGCTAGGAGCATGTTCTGTAGAAAGACCTGGGTCACCATTTTTTCAGTGTGTGAAAGTGTTAATGTGTACATTATTGATTTATTTTAAGAAGTAAATATTGCATTTAGAAATTGTAGTCTACTGTCAGTATTAAACTTACATTTTTAGTATTAAATTCACGTTTATGAGCTTAAACTGATTTAAAGTTATTTCTGTATTCTTATAAGGCCCCTATCAGATATACTTGGCTTCCAGTTATTATAGGATACAGACTACTCAAAGTGGATGCTAAAATTAATTTCAACTTATTTCTTTGCATGCTTTCTCCATTTATATCTTCCAGACGCCGCAGATCATCATCTGGATCTTCCCATTCTGGTTCCCGTACAAGTTCTAAAAAGAAATAACGTATTAAAGCTCACGTTTAAAAAAAAAAGAAAAAAAAAAAAGAAAAAAAAAAATTGCAGTCAGTGCATGAGACATTTTTAAGAAGTTGATGTCTTACTTGGTCAGAAGTGCTAAATCTGCTAGTAGAGGTGCATGTCTGTCCTTGCTTTCTGGAAAACTGCAGCTTTGTTCATTCATGAAACAAAAAGTAAGGTAGCATTTTAAGCCATAAACTCCCCAGAGGAGGTGTGAAGTTTTATGATTTGAGTAAGGGAGGGTTTTATTGTTTTTTTAAAGACTCAGTTACTCGATTCCTGGCTTATATGTGTGAGCAGGCACAGGTTGGATATGTTCTAATACAACTCTGCTCTTCATGTGACAATTGCAAAGTGTCTGAGGAATACAGGAAGAACCCATGAGCTTTCTGCATCCAGCTCCTGAGCTTGTTTGATGTAGCTCGTACGGGACCACAAAAGATTACCGCAGCTGTAGAGCTGGTGTTACCCATTGGATGACAGTAGTGAGTACTTAGGTCTAACTATTTTTTATTTTTCCGTGTTGAAGTAAAAGCAGAGATGGATGCCCTTCTCTCTCTCTTTAGCTGTACTCAGTGCAAAATAGCTATTAAATATGCAGTCTATCGTATGATGCTGTAGAGAGTGAATTAGAGTTCGTTCCTTCAAAGTGAGGATGTTTGAGACATTGGGCATTATCCTCTGCATTGCTCAAGTCTTAGAGCTGCCGGTGCCTGGCACTAGAAATTATTTGCTGCAGTCAGCGAAGTGCCCTTTCGGCAGTGGATACTGGCTATGGTATTTTCATGTGTATGGACCCTGGACTCTCTGATCCTTCCTTAGAAGAGGGTCATTTAGGAACTGCTCTTGAGATGGAGGATGATGGAACTAGCTTCTTGGAATCTACTCTTGAGATGGAGGAGTATGGAACTAGCTTCTTGGAATCAAGTGAAGCTTCGGCAGGCCATCTGTAAAATTCATTTGGGGCTGACTAAAATTTTCAAGGTATCTGAATTTTATTTCTATTTTAAAATGAGAATTAATAAACTGTAGAAAGTTCTGACATCTTAAATGTGTTCTTCATCAATCATCTTTTTTCCCTTAAACATAATTTATGGCTTAAAATGCTTTATTGAATCTATTTTACTAGCAATATCACATTAAAACTTGATCTCTCTTGAGCTCCGTTTGGTTAAGAAAGGTTTAAGTATCTTCAGTGCCATCACAAGGTAAGTATGTCAAGGAAAATTCTTCTTTTTAAGCAAGCAAACAGCAATATATCTACATTTCTTTCAGTAGTAGAACTTCCAAACCCATATTTGACCGCTGCTGGTTTTAAGTGAACTGCACAAAAGCAAACGGAGCAAAATTTAAAAACTACATTCTGCTTTTTTTTTTTTTTAAGACACTTCTTTTGGACTGGTATATAAGCAAAATGTTTTTGGTGTAGGAATATTTTGATAATCTTTTTGCAGAAAAAAGTGGTCTGCAGTTTTTTCTTTAATGCTTTCTTTTATATCTAATTTCAATGCTAAATGTGTGTAGATTGCACAAGAGCAGGTTAGTCTTGTAACTGTGCCTCTGACGACTTCAAAGTCCAACTACTAAATTGTAAAAATCAGATCAAATAGATGCTATGTTGTTAGCCTTTGGTTTCTTCCTTGTGCTTTGTATTAAAATTGTTGCTGTACTTAACAGATTAAAGTTTTTAAATTTAGCAAATGATAGGCTATAGACAAAGGAAAATTATGGTTTCATTTGGCTTAGAAAAAATGTAAGGCAAAATGATTCTGTAGACAAGTGTAAATAAAACCTGTGAGTCAACTCTGCAGTGAGTGCATTCTCTCCGAAACATCAGCAAATCTTTCTTTCTGACCTACGTTAACAGATTATTTTGTTGTTGTTGTCCTCTGTTACTGTGGTGCAAGAGGGGCAATATGTGCACTTACCTGGCCATAAGTATCATAAATTTTCAGATTACTTTAGTTCTTTACGTATTGAAAATGTTTTTGGATTTAAACAGCAGCATGTTTAAAATGAGCTTTTACAGAACTTCAAGGTATTTTCTTCTGTATGTGTTCCATATCTTCTTTTCAGAAAGTTTTTAGAGGAAGCAGTATGTTTAGTTATTTTGATTTCTACATTTTAAAATACAAAGGCACAGCAACTGTGGTAGTCTTTGCAAGCTTGTTACTAATGACACAAAATACCTCTTTCTAGTTAACTGGATCGGCAAATAAATTAGAACCAAGCTATTAGAACTAAACAGGGTCTGCCTTTGATAGGACACAAAGCTAGATTGAGCTCAGGCAGTGAAAAGGTGTGGGTTTAGTGTAGTAGGGTATTTGTGTGGGTTTGGGAGGGTAGAATTGCCTCCAGTGTCCTAGCAGTAAATTTTTCTGTTTCCCTAGAAAATATTTCCCTTGCCTTCAGTTTAGCCGTTGGCATCAGATAAATTGCTGCTGCCTGTAGAAATAAACAGGTATTTCTGTGTGGCTTTATCAGAGATCAGTGAAATTTGTCACGGCAAAGGAGGAAACATTGATGAGGTTAAGTTTAGGGCTAATGTGCTTTTCTAAGAAAAATACATTCATGAATGGTAATGGTGGGTTTGCGTAAGCATTCTTCTGTAGTAACTGAAAACTAGAAAGTGATTTTTCATAAAAGCAGACTAGCCTTTAATTTTATATAAATTTGGCAACAGAGTGAAATCCTCTGCTAAAGAATGTTTCTCTTCAGATAGATAGTAAATTAATAATAAAATGCATTAAAATGTACATGCTGGTACATCTTAAAACAAGATTGCTTCATTTCCACACCAGGTAACTAACTCCTGTATGCTGTTGTCTGATAGAAGTGACCGAGAGGAATGACTGGAGATTAGATAGACTCTGTGTTAGGTCTTACTTCTCACTAGCCCCCCAAACTTAAATGTAGTTGTAATGAACTACTGTGAGTTAGTTGTTGCACCTGGTAATTGCACCATTTTCATCCTTTCCAGCGCATGAGGCATTTGCTTGTTTGCCATGCCTTGCTTTGGGAGGGGATAACGTGTTGCAGCATGGGCTGGTATTGATGATCAGCATGCCGGTGCTTTAAATGATAGCATTTGAAATTCCATGGCGCTACCATCAGTCACCTTTTAGGGAATAATTGAGTGTAAATAACACTTCAAAAGTAATGAAAAGTACTAACGCTGTTGAAGACACATACTTGAAACCTTTCTAATTTTGAATGTAGCACAAACATCAAGTGTGGCAGGATAACTTTAAATAGTAATAGTGTATTATACCTGGTGCCTTCTGTTCAGGTGTTGGAAAAGGCTTCTTAGAAGTAAATTTTGAAAATCAAGAGCTGACCAACGCAGT